CAGCAGGCACAGCATACGGCAGTGACGGCTGTACGGCAGGGACGGTGGTACGGCAGATCCGGGAGTAGCGTGGCTGTGCGCTGCAGTGTGCTGGCGAGGGGTGGGCAGAAAGAGCCTGCAGCACCGCTTCCCCAGTGACTCCTGGAGTCAGCTGTGAGACAGCCTGTTTGCTTCATGCTAAAGACAGTAAAAGAGGATAAAACGAGATCTGTTTGTTCAAAACACCGGGACTGTTTAGCAACCCAGACCTCCCGCTCGCTCCAACCTCTCGCATGACGTACTGAGCTCACAGCCCGCAGCCTGCGCCCGTGTCCCCAGTGCCTACGCGCAGCCCTCAGCAGTGCTGGTGGCTGGTGGTGTGTTTGGATTGCAGCTTCGGGTGTTGCTGCAGTGGTTTCTTGCTCCAGTTGCTTCTCTCTGCAGTAGGCACGCCAAAGTGACACTTCTGCACAAACTCAGCCGAGGGGCATCAATTAGAGGAGGGAGGAAAATCATGCTGGGGAGGGATTTTTTCCTGCTAATTGCAACAGTTCAGATCCAATTAAAAAAAATAAAAAAACCAAACCGCAACTGAAAACCAAAACCCAAACACAAAACCATCATCGGAAATATGAAAAATAAACCCCTGTCTTCTTGAACAGATGGCAAACTCTGCTGGGTTTGTGTAGCCTGCATCTCTCTCCTGTCTCCTCCCGTCTGCCCAGGACATGTGTTTCCATAAGGCTGTCTCTTAAAAAGACCAGCTCTTTTCAAATGATTCAAAGCCAGCTCACTTCGCTACCAGAAGAAATCACATCTGAGGATGGGGCAAGGGCATACATGAAAGGCAGCTGGAGTCTCATTTCAGCCTCGAGGCGAATGCGACGAACCCCGCTCCAGGGGGCCTGGACGTTTCCTCCCTGCGATGGTTTCCCAGTGCAGCATCCACAGGGCCGTGGCTTGCAACGAGCATGCTGCAGGGATCGAGCTGCCCAGCCAGCAACCTGACAGATGCCGGCAAAATAACAAGAGACCGTGCTCCCAGGAGGCAGGTTGGACCGGCTGCCCCTGGCTGCTCAACCTCAACTGCAAGTCATGAGACTCCATCCGAAATGCAATAACATAAACAACAGGTTTGCCAGCTTCTTCAAGACTTTCAAAATCTGATCAAAACCCCACCAGTCCCAAATATTTATACATTGTCACTATGGTGATGAAGAAAAATACATCCCGAGCTGTAGGAAGTGGGCTGTGTTTTCCAGATAGGGATGGGGAGGCAGGGGAAGGATGGAGGCCATCACAAACATGGCTTTTTTTTTTCCCTCTGGAACAAATGGCCTGGGAAAGTTGGTGCTGGAGTGGCAGGGGGTGATGCTCATGGGGCATTCCCCTGGGCTGACCATGGGGGGCAGCTTGGGCAGCCCCAAAGAGCCCAAGGGAACCCACAAGCAGGAGGGTCCCATCTGCAGGGCACGGGATCCCTCCAGCAGCGCCCACTGCCCAGAGCTGGTGGGCAACAAGGGGGAGGCGGGAGCAGGGCTGGGCATGGGAGGGGCGCTTGGCCAGCCCTTCTGCTGCAGGGTGCTCCCACCGCCTCAGCCCACACGTACTCCCTGCACCCTCCTAATGTCTCCATGAACTGGTGTCAAGACAAGTGGGTTCAGCATGGTCAAGCTCCCTATTCACGGTGTGACTTAATAGAAGTGCAAAACCAGGCTTCCCTGCAGAAAGACCCAGATCTTTCATTTTCACTTAATCCTTTGGCAGCTATTTCCAGATACCCTCACATGTTTCACAGTTATATGCCAAAGCTGGGATGCTGCTGGAGGCTGGCTTGCTGCGCGCTGTCAATACCTGAGATGTCACTAGCTGCAACAGAGACATGTGGGGCAGGGAGAAGGTGTCTGGTATGTAAGAGCCAAAAAGAAAGGTGGAGGCTGGATTCAGGAGAGGTGAAACAGCTCTGTTGGAAATCCCTCCCCAGCTTGATTTCTGCTAAAATATTGGAAGCCTGTTTTAGGGGGTGATTGAACAGGTGCCAGTGAGATACTGGGTGGCCATAAAGTGTGGCCCCTGAAGCGTTTTGGAGCCCTTGGGAAGTTGTGTTTGTGTAGAAGGGTCATTTGGCTAATTACTTGGGCAGCTTGCCTCAGAAAGGCGGCAATGCCTGTACCCACCCCACGGCCAAGCTTTCTGCAGGCCCAGAGGTACTTACTGTCGGGCTGATACCAACCATTATACTTCTGGTAGGAAATATTTCATGTATTTTATCACTCATGCTTTCATGAAATTTGGCGTATGTATGAGCACTATACATATGACATTGTACATCTATATTCCTATAGACATATACAAGTATACACACATGCATATATCCATACTCAGGTATCTGGATCCTCGGTGAGTCAGAGAGTCAAAAAGCAGAGTTTCTGGATATTGTACTTGGGGTCTGTCGCAGAGATGAGCCTGCATGGGTTTATTGCAGTCCCAGACCCCATTGCGGGAAACCTTGGCCACCCAGTGAACGTGAAGGTGCGTCTTCCAAAACATCCTCCGAAATCGCCCTATGCCTGTGGCTGCTGGGTGCCGAGCCGGCACAGGAGGCAGGTATCATGCTCTCTGAGGGACCCCCATCCCTTGCCGTGGGGCAAGGCAACCCCACGCTGCAGCTGGGGTCCCCAGGCACCAGGCATTGCCTCCATGCCTCCCAAGCGCCCACTCCCCACCACAGGGATGTGCGGAGAAGGGCTCCCTGCAGCTGCATCCCTCGGGTTAATGCCAGGGGATTGTTTGCTGTGTGGTTTCTGGTTAATTCAGTGACCCAGACCCTCACACCTCACCAGTCACGGTGTGAGTCACGCAGCTCTCCCCCCGCATGCTAAGGCAGGGCTCTGCCGGTGCTGCCCAGTCCCAGCCCTGGGGACCACCGAAGCCTGTGAGGCAGCGGCGGGAGCTGCCCGCTGCCCACGGGGGGCTGAAGGTGTCCCAGGGCTCGCCCGGGCTCCCCCCAGTCCTTGGTCACTCCCTGGAGGGTGCCGAGTGCTGTGGCCAAGGGCTGGGGCGAGGTCAGGAGTGGGGATCCACTCTTCACACCCGCAAGCAGCAGGTTTTCAGTCTGATGTTCTCCGTGTGATTTCCCCTAGAGATCTTCACACGGGGGGCTGGTGTGCACTGAGGAACTGGTTGTATTAACCCATATTCTTGTACCACTCAGTAATCCACACATAAACATGTATTTCTGCTACTATATCAATGGACTGTTCATTTTGTCTCTTTGCAGTGAAGGCGTGGTGTTCCCCTACCCTCTAC